TAAAACACTTAGCTGTTCATTTCTTCAGTTTTTCAATGTTTCGAGTTTAATTTTGAAAATAATGGGATTGATAAGAGGGTATATGATAATCTTTAAATGTAATTAAGACGAATCGAGGAATAACATTATCGTAGTGCATAATATCACATGTATAAAAATTTGAAATCACCATGGTAACAAGGGATACAACAACAAAGAACTTATAAACATTTAAACATTTTTCTAAATTATTAAAGTGATAGGGAACTTTTATTATTTCTGTTTTCTAAGGTATATTAACATATGCAAACCAAAATGGAACTACAGAGGACAAGCTTTTAATGTGTCCAAGAGTAGACTAAGGGGATGATTTCTGTAAACAAAATGCCACTCCTTATCAAAATTATTGAATATTCAGTTAAGATTCTTGTATTTTCGAGAAACATGAAAAGCAATTAATTCTACTTTTATTAGTGCATTTTCAAGCAAAACAATACCAAGACGTAATTTATCTGAAACATGTAATGTGTTATACCTTTTGGATATTTTGATCACACTCATGAGTACTTCTCGTACAAAACCTTTAAATAAAAGGCAAGAAAGCATAAGGGATCAAAATGTTCCAGAGTAACGATCACAGATAAGACGTGGAATATTGAGGTTGTCTTCATTATTGCTAGTAGCATTAGTAGTATTCCCTCAAATGCCAAACAAATCAATGTGGGATAATAGTCTATCTTCATTCAACACGACTTTGAAGGTGAAAATATCACAGGAATACGTCAACAGTCAGAACCTATTGTGCAGCAAGGTTGGTTCGCTTGTATCGCACAAAACGCTCTTTGGTGCAATCAGAAGACGACAGATACCCTTCTCATGTTAACTCTAACTAAGAATATAAATTTACCTGTATCTGCTGGAGCAATTAGGCTGAGAGAACAGAAAGAAGAAGGGTATACCTCCGATTTTCTGAACATGTACGTCTCAAGGGAACGAGTGCTTTCAATAGTGTCATCTCTAGGTAATTCTTTGATACGTGTCATGAGGTGAACATTGAAGGATTCTTCAAAGTTATCAATAGGCAAAATAAGTCGATTCACTTCAATTTTGAGGAAGCAATCTTTATCAAACGCCTGAAGCCTGATTTTTATGTGTGTTCAGAAAACAATAGTTGTCATTTTTCCTAAACCCCCACCTGGTAACTGAATGTCTTCATTGTCTCTTTCACTTGATTACGTAACGCTGAAAATGCCATTCTGCCTGACTGTTACTAGTTGAAATAAAGTGATTAATATTATTACCATTGTATGCATGCATTGGATTTTTGTTTAAAAGTGAACTCTGTGGATAATTAACTTAAAATTGCTTCCGTAAATGAACTTTATAATGATATCTCTAGGCTGTAAGCAGTTGACTAGAAGTTAACGAAATAAATAATGGTACCATTTTATTCTACCCAAACTATTGTTCTTGCTTTATTCAGATGTATTGTTCGTTGATACGTTGTTGGATTTCCTCATCGCCTATCGTTGTTGCCAGTTACAATTTTGATCATAAGATTTTTGTAACTTCTTTTAGGCCTACCTGATACAATGCAAAGTGTAGTTGTGCATAAATAGGATGCTGAGGGTTTGAGAAGATGTTATAAGCCGATTTTTTGCACGAGATGAAATGACTATCTGCATAAGTATCAACCAATTAGTTTAGCCTCAACTCATTTGCCCTAGAGACAATTTTTGGTGCTCTTTAGGAATGTGAGAAATTAAGGGAGAGCAGTGAAGAAGAACAGATGGAATAAAATAACAACAATATTAAGGCGTCACAATATATCTCAACGGAAACTGCATACTACCTGTGTAGGTTTATCGACATACCCACTAAATATATCAGAGAATGAGTCCTGAGATGCACACTGAATGTCCACAGTTTTTATTCACACACTAAATATACCAACTGAAAGATGGATTATCGCTGTGTTCGCAGTTTGGTTCACTGTTTGCCATTTGCTTCATGACATAACCTTGAGTCAAAATTATACTCACAGCATTAAATGAAATGGTTCGAAGTTTACAAGAGATTTATCGATGATACCTTCATCATCACCGATGAAAATACTGCAAACCCTTAAAAACTCCCACCAGTCAGTGGAATTAAGAAAATCTAGATGAATCAGGAGCTACATAATCCCTTCTAGATGTACAGTTTACAAGATGATCAGACAGAAGACTACATAGATAAGTCTTCCACAAGCCAAAATAGAATGTATAGCTGACAATAGGTAGAAGATACATTGAGTAAGGAAAGAATTAATATCCTTCATAAAAACTTCAATAAAAAACTGATATCCAACATCCATCATCAACAAACAGCTAAAGAAAAAGACTCCTACTCCTTGGAAGATAGGTGTGCCGAATTAACAGCTAATTATCATTTATTTGAAATTCAAAGAAGATACAATCAGTGAAGTTTTCCAAAACCACCTGTCAAGAGCAACTCAAAGAAAATCCTTTGCTGCTTGTCTACACCTCACCTTCTCCACATAAATGCTTTTGTTAACCTAAATCTCAAAGATAATTAAGATCTTGATTTTGTTAACTTCAGTGTGGTTTGCTTGAACTTGTGCGTACATAGATATTACAAGCAGGACATGCATTGTTGACACGCCTCTAAGAACATTCATTTACCAGTGTGGGCGTCAGAAAGACAAATCAGAAGTGTCAACAGCCCAATCATTTCTGGAGCTTGTTGTTACTTCCGGTCACGCAACATTCATTAGCACAGACTTCTTTCAGATTCATATAGAAAGTAAATGCATGTTGTACCACTACTGCAAAAACATTTAGAAGAAAGGAAAGGTACCTACTGACAACAAGCAAGCTACCTTGTTAGATAAACAAAGAAGGGAAATTAAGCCACTAGGAGAACTGGTGGAGAATCATTCTCTTGTCCACGCCAAGCAAAAGAATAAATCGTATCACCCTTGAGAGAATAAAATATGCACTGAATGCAGAACTGCACCCCCCCCTGCAACAAGTTAGCTGGATTCAAAAAAAGCGAATCATGTGCGAATCAAATAGCAAATCCAAGCATCATCACCGCCGAAAAGAGCGTAGAATGGCAGTCTTAACTTCATCAACTATAAAAAGACCCTCGATAACGTTTATTGAGAAGTAATTTGGGATCTACTCCAACACTATGGAGTACACCAATTCTCTGCCAATGCCATAGACAGCTATATAACAATACAACATGTCAAAAGATGCAAAAAATTCAGAGAAGTCTACTTTCAAATTGAGCACAGGAGCAAGGCAACGCTACCTGTTATCACCAACGATGATATCCCTAATTGTGGTCGACTGGAGTATGTGGCACACTGTGAGTAAGTAGTGAGAAGACAAGAATACGCTGGACCTGAACTGATAAGAAGACTCTAGAATATCTGTATTTCGCGAATAATATATGTTCTGCGTCACACAAATGCGGAGACATAGCCTCAAACCAACAAACTGGCAGGGAGAGCGGTGAAACCAGGACCTTAAGTAAACATAGAGAAGACTGAGTTGATGAAAGTTACCAACCAACAAACAACAATAATCATTAATCACAATCAAAGGAATAAATTTGAACGAGGTCACTTCATTCACCTGTCTGGCCAGTCAATATCGCTCAACTACAAGTGGCATGGATGAGAATGTCATGACCAGAATTAGAAAGGCAATACTGACTATCATCACTCTGAAAGTAGTTTGGAAATCTGCTGTATTATATGGGTCAGAAATATATCGCACATGTCGCTTACTCCGTATTAAAGATCAGATCGTTGGCCAGAACGAATAAGCAACAACTAGTCAAGAGCCTATTGCTCAAGAAATATTCCGAAGAAAATGGAGATATTTTGGACTTACCATAAGAAGACTGTTAGGTAACATCTCATGTCAGGTCATCGCTCGACTGTAACTCGAATGGGATAAGACAGGTTGCGTGTCTGGGGGTAATGTGGAAAGAAATCCTGTGAACGGGGGTAGATAATAGCTTAAGGGCTATCATGGAGACAGGTGAAGAGGACTGCAGGGAACAGGATTAAATGAACACTTACCTGGGAACCCAAGATAACAATAATAATAATAAGGAATCATTTGAAAGGATTTCACCTACAACTTGAAAGTCTTTGTAGTCCATAAGAAGAAAGCTGAACGTTTTTTCGAACTTCTTTACTACAATGACCTTTGTACTTTTTTTCTTCTTTCCTAAATATTTGTATTAAGAGCCTTATGTAGGCCGTTTCATTTGGCCTGTAACTCACTCCCCTGTTCCCATGTATCTTAACAGGAAATATTCATGACTCAACTAACGGGTTGTCAACTCTTTTTCCCGATTACTTAAGACTTTTCTTAATTTTTAATACATGGTTATTACTCAGACACTTTGACTGGTTACAGGATTTCATTATGAGCTGACATTGGCTAGAGAACCACTGAAAAATCTGGGAGTACTGGAAAGCTGTTTCCTCCTGGTTTGAGACACTTTCACGGCACGCACCCACCGGTGTTCAAACCCAGGACCTTCTGTTTACAAAGCGAGCTCACAGGACATTAAGCCAGTTTGACGCAGTGTCAGCTCATCATGAAATCCTGTAACCAATCAGTCAAATCCCTACAAACCAGTACTTGAAAATCTTACACTTTTATTTAACTTTATTGCTGGCTCACAATAACCTTTGATCTATACTGTCATTTGCATCGCTTACATAAACCTCTTACATAAATGTACAGTTCTGAAGGGAAGAGATCTCTTTGCTGACTCATATTTTCCAACTACAAAACATAAAATATACACATATATATATGTATGTCTTCTCTCAATCCTCCAACTTCTCTCTGAATTTTCCAAAATAGAAAATGAAAAACAAGTTGGATAATTTTAGAGTTTTCCTAAATTCTCATTGGTTCTTATTTATGATATCAGGATTGAGTAGGCATAGCCGAGTTTTACTTATGTATATACACATATAAATATGTATAGATACACCTATTTGTATGCTTGTAGACCTCAGGTTGACAGACTCTCTGAAATAATATTTAGGTAATATATATATATTTAGCCTAGAATCTTTCTACACGAACACAAGGATGTTGAGATATATATTTGAAAGACATAGCTACTAAGTACACTTATACGCCTGTAATCAACATTAAAATCAAATTTATTTTTGGTATTATTATTATTATCATCATCATCCTTATCAGTATTCACATTATCATTACTTAGAGACCCGCGGAATTTCAATATCTCACACCTCTTATTGTAACTATAATTATCATTACTACTCTTGCGTCATAACACATTCGAAAAGCATCTTAGAAAAAACATTTTCGCATTCCTGTTCAGCTTCAGTGTACAATATATATCTATTAACATTACAAGTAAGTCTACATTTCGATCGGATCACTTTAAGTTTTATCTATTTGTTTTTGTTGGATTTATGATTTGATATAATGTTTACCATTACGATAACTACTCCCTAGAATTCTGAGTGAAACACAGGGATGTCTTCAGCTTCCTCCAGTACTAACTCACAATGTTCTTTCTGCATTTCCTTCGAAAAGTTCCTACAGGTAGGCAGAGACTTTCTTCTCCAATTATGCACAATTACGAATTCTTTTGACTAAATGTGGTAATTAGATCGTTGAAACAATCATTGAAACGGATTAAAGATGATACATTTTTATGGATAGGTAATTTAATTAGCCCAGTGATTACAGAGAGCCCCATATCACTCCAGAACCACCACAAAAAGTGTCTTAGACATCAATAAACCAAATGAAGATAAACCACAATTTTGGGTAAGGCTCCACTGATGATCGATTTTATGTGAAACAGTAGTGTCAACTCCTACAGATTAGGTTAAGATGACAAAAGGGAGTAGACGGAGTTATTTAAGCTTCGACCCTCCTCTACTAAAAATCTATTTTTGTTAATAATTTTGTCAATTCTCTGCTTTCTGAGTGGGTCACATAGTAGCTCCCCTGGCACCAACTTTCTCTCTTTACCAAGTTACTACCGACTAAGCGAGATTAGTGGGGGCATAGGTTGGCGGCTGAGAGTCAAATCTCGGACAATTGACAGCTAACTCTGTATATTTCAGTTTTTGAATAAAAAGCAAAATTAACAGTGGTTTTTGACTAACAATTCGGTACCACCGTTTATTTCGCCTACTTATATAGCAATTGCTCACAGCCTAAAACACTTAGTTTGTTCTGTCTATGTACACAGCAGTTTTTGAGCACAATTTTTCCCTGATTATAATCATAGGAAGCTGCGACTCATGCAACTTTCTGACTTCGCTTATAACCACAAGTAAAAAATTGATTAGACAAAGGAATAAATATAAAATTCCTAAGGAGGGGACATTTGAAACTCTACTGTGGACTTTAAATGAAGCAGAAATTAGGATGTCATTTGAACCTACAAACTCACTCAGAGACAAGCTTTGTAGGCCAAATTAACCTGTTGACCCAATTAAACAAAACAATATAATTTACAAGATACCTGGTAATCACTGTGGGTTGTGAACATATATATATTAGTGTAGATGCTGATAAAGAGCAGTTTACTGAAAGAAAAAATATCCCTTGTTCATTAAAATCAAAGTCTTTTAAAGCTATTAATGAACGCTACGCAATTAAAAATATATGCGTATTGCATATATCAGTAACATTAGAAGGAATTCTTTGAAAGACAAGTAAACTGAGTGTGGTGTAATGACGTTGTTCATACACAGGAAAGCCGACTTTGATACTTGATACCTAACGAACTGAAAAAGTGATTCCATAATCATCTTTAGAGTACTCAGAATGAGTATGCACCGGGCTACTTTAAACTATACATAAGTCATCACAAACCACATAATAAATCCTGAACTCTGTATACAATATAAGAGGATATTTGTTTAGTCACTGAAATTGCAATAAACCTAATTTGACTCCTTTTTTGAGGTAATGATATCTTAACTTGGTTGACCCTTTTTCAATTTAATTTGTTCTGTTCCGCTCTACTCACTGTAAATGGTTTCTGTATAACATAATCCTTATTAGCTAAAAACAACAACCTTTCTGCAAAATTTCTTCGAAAACATTGAGAACGATCTCACTGCGTACTGATGTTTCTTTCCTCTGGCATCCTCTTATTTTCCACAAAATAAGACTTTAGACGAGTAGAATGGAATCAAAGTGTCGAATTCGTAGATTTACAAAATTAATTGTGTCTTGAAAATGCCATTATACACTAAAAATACAATTTCACAGCACTTGATTTCTTCAAGTGTCGTTCATCTTCTAATTCCAAATGTTCCTGGTTCTATTTTTATGAGACATGTTGAATGACCTCAAGCCTGATTTTCCCTCCTACTGGTGGATAAATAAACTAAGGGAGGTTTCTAGTAGTGCTTCTTTTGGAAATGCAGCCTGGACTCAGTTCAACTGAATAAATCTTCAACTTGAAAGTTCCGAATAGCTCGATCCATGGTAGAGTCATGAGTGTACTGTTCTGTGTACTCCTTGGAGGCTTCCAGAGACTCTGTCTAACTGATCTGATAGTTCATAAGGTAACATTCATTGAAATTAATTCCAAAACCGTTTTGTATTTGTCTGGCTGGTACGTTTATTCAATTTTCACTTCAGCTTATGCAACGGTTGAATCAGATTTTCTCAAAACTTGTTTTTCTTTTATTACCCGTTTTCTAAGAACCAATGTTTTAAAACACATATGACATAACTTGCGTGAAAGGCAATCATTATGATTATTGTTGTTATAATCACTATTTTTCACAGAGTGATGGTAATAAAATCAAAAAAATTCTTGATATACTGCAGGAAATCATTCATATATCAACATTAAATAGCCATAAAAACAAGGCGAACTTAAACTTCAAACAGTTTCCAGAGACACGAGAGCACCGCAACAGTCACAGTGGAAGACGATCATAATCACAGAAAGGGAGGGAAGCAGTAAAATCATGTGAAATAATCAACTATATTTATGAAATAACCGCTGCAGGATTGGTGTTGATGCTTAGTTTTATGTCAGTGAGTTACAGAAAGATTAAGGTTAGCTTGATGGAAGGTACACTTTAAGGTTCAGGTTGAGTTTATGGACTATATTTACTATTTAGGAGAAAGTGGTCTTTCCAAGGTGATTCACTGGTTAGTTCGCACCTCCTTGAGATATCACGTGACCCATTGCTATTCTATCTAAAAAACAGTCCAGTCTCATATTCATATGGTTCGTCTTTTGTCTGATTTGAGAAATGCACACTAAAGTAGGCTGAAAGTTAATGAAAAATATCTGCTTGAGGAAGTTGTTTGAGATTCACGTATATGTATCTAGGTAACTCTAACAACAAGAAGAAATTTAGAAAATCTGAAGGATCATGTAGGATAGATTAATGGATACTCAAGTAGCTCAACTGTCGAAGGGGGCCATCAAGATGTAACATCTGAAGTCAATAAACTGGCCTATTATAATTTAAGGATCGAGACACACGGTTCAAAGTAGTAGCCATGTGGCAGTTACTCATTGTCACTTTTTTCGCTTAACACAATCATTTTCACAGAGATGACTCTGAATGGTATGAACCGATAGTCCTAGAGATTTTTTATAACACGACAGAAATGGCTAAAATGAATAATCGTCAGAGTTTATCAAAATCAATGATAGGTGCATGTCACATGAATGATTCAACATCTATCTCACAGAAATATCTGAAGAATTCTACTACCCCTACATCAGTCAAAGAGTAGAGAGGAGGAGGCATTTTCTCTAAGACACTTACTCCTCTCTTCAGAGAATTGTTCATTCTTGCGTTGTAAAATCGCAGATTTTTCCATAGTTTTTGTCACTAAAATTGTTCGTTTTCAGTAGATAACAATCACATCATAAATAAAATATTAATAGCTGGACCATCTCATAAAAACAAACTGACGCTCGTCCACATACCACACGGAAATCTTACCAAAATGATTACGAATCAAAATTCTTCAAACTATACAGAAGCTATGGTGGCAATTCACGTGTTAAATTGTGAACTCTTCATACAATAGAATAAGACGTTTGTTCAGTGATTGAACCTAAAATGGCTCCATCAGAACGAGGCACAAGTCATGTAAGAAGAAAAAACAGCACATTCAGTGATACATAATGGCTAAAATAAGTGAAGTAATGGAAGACTTCCTCGTATAAAAGTAAGAGTGCAACCATTTATTAATCCAGTAGTCTGCTTATTTCACAGCAAGGATGTTCAACAACTCCTAGATACAGAGTCTAAGGCAGACGTGTATTCAAGGAAGGCACACTGAAAATATGTTCAGCATCTTTGTCTAAACTGAAGGCAGTATTAAAGGGCAAGATCATAGCAGCCGAGTTTTTATTTCTTTGCAATCCGACTGAATAATAGGACTTCAAGCCTCACCTTTGAATTTTTAGCAGCAATGTTTTTATTTATACGGGGTTGCCTCCCATCAAACCTTCCTTTTTTGCCGCAATTACTACCGGTTTAACGATGTTTAGCTGCACATTAGTCAATAATCGAACCCCAGACGACATGAGTGGTTGGTGCTCAGCCACCGAGGCAGAAGAAGACTGTCCAAAAGTAGCCGACGACTGATGACTCCAGAAAGTGGGCAACAAGTGCTCTATCCGACCATCTTCAGGTGACTGCCAACCACTTATCCTTTCTTGTTGATTTAGAGGACCAAATTTACTTTTCAGGAGCAATATATCTTTCAAAAATTATCAATTCTTCAGTCCATGCCCCTCAACGACGTCTATACTCTAACAATTGCTGTAAAATGTCTGATAAAAATCCCCTTTGGAATAATGGTGAATGAAGATTTATAGGTCAAGTTGGCATTTTCTTTTCAATTTACTTGTGTCCGCCAAAGAGGATGTTGGGAGTTCATTGGCAGGCTTCCATATTTTTGTTCTGGGTAACATCACTTCGGTATGACCTCACACTATGAACACTCAAAGAGTGGGAGAGAGATCCAGACGAAGAGACAGAAAGAGGCTACGCAAACAGATAAAACACTCCTTGACAAGACGGGTTCACCTGATGAGAAACACGATGGGTGATCCAGTATAAATTCATTGTCATTTCAATGGGTTCAGAGTGAAACAATAAGTTTCAGGCAGTGGGAATATCTTTATTTCACTATTTTCTCTGTAGTCATTAGCCTTAATTGAACCCACGATCCCCGTTAAGCTTTCATTTCCTTCTCATTACCTGATTATTCCGACGTCATTATTTCCAATTCTGCTCTTATTTCCTCTTTATCAACATACTATCTCTTCTAAATCACTTACGAACAGATGCTTTAGTAGTCATTTCTGATTTAGCCTCTGTTATTCTTGGTGCGTGGTGTTATTC